AGTCAGCTGGCCTTCTGGGTCGGTCGGTCTTGCTGACAGGTGGCATCCTGCCTCCCTCCGTGTCTTTGCTGACACTGGCCTTGCTGCCTGAAGTGCCCTTCCCCATGGGACCAACCAGAGCATAATCTAGTCATCTTCAGATTCATGTCACCGCCACCGTGAAATTTTTCTGGATGTGCGTTCCCCCAACTAGAAATGAGGTTCGCCTCTAGTTCTTTCGTGCCTTCACTATTTTCTAAGCAGCCTTCTGTAAACCTCTGACACTTCATCACGCTCATGTGCGTATAGGTCCAGCGCCCGCACGGACTCACAGGTGCAGCGCAGTGCGTGAGTTCACTCTACAGCAGAAACAGGTTAGTTCAGATGGCGCAGGTGACCAGCCAGCTGTTGCTCTCTGTGAGTGTCCGCCTTGCACAGGGTTCAAGAAGGGACACGTGAATTGGATCCAGAGGCCATCTGAGCATGAGCCTCTTGCCTTACTGAGGGTGGCTCAGGCGATCCTACGTTTTTTTTCCTACCTCTGGCCCCCAAGTGAAAGTCAGAAATTTCATCTGATGCTTAACCGAAGAAACAGCTGTCTGTTCATGCGTGTACAGGAAAACTGGCTGTGTTGGATTATTAAGTGGTGGTATAATGGTCACCAATGAGGAGTAAAAATGTGTCCCACTTCTGTGCTTCGTGGTCATTTAAAAGGCTATTCGAGGTAATTTTAACTTTACCTTACCCAATTTGCGCCCCAGCTCTGTGGCAGAGCCTGCGGCTGCTCCCCGATATCCATGGGCGCCCACACACGCCTGAGCCCTGTGCAGTTGGACTGGAGCTGGGGGGCTGGAGTCTAGCCGATGTGGGGGATGTGGCGGGAGCAACTTCTTGCCTGTTCCTTAAATCCATCCGCAGGATGCTGCAGGCCCCTCTTCCCTTGCTTTGGTGACTCGAGGCTCATTTTCAAGACGGACCAGGGCCACCCAGCCCACATCAGACACTATGCAAGCAAGATGGCGACATTTCTGTGCTAGGTCGCAGACAGCCCAGAGCATCTTTATTCTGGTAGCGCCTGGCCTACCCTAATTTTAAAAGCCTAACTCCGTGTAGCGTGGGCCTCCCGCCCTTCATCTCCGAGGTCCCCTGAACAGGATCCACCCAGGGGGCCTTGCTCCGATGCCTCCTGCACTGGCCTCTGAGGGGTTTTTCCTCCTAAGCCGAGGCACAAGCTTCTCCTTCATTCTCCAGGGATCAGCTGAGTCAGGGAGGTTAAACAAAGCGGGGCCGAAGCTTTGGGCTAACGACAGGAAATGGCACTGTGGCTCCAGATACGATGGACTCTCTCTGCCTTGGTTTCCAGACCTGGTCAAGCACGTGGGGAGGGGTCAGACCAAATCCCACCTGTCCCGGCTTCCGGCCTTCCTTGGAGAGCTGAGCTCCACCGTGTCCAGCAGCAAACCGTTGAACGTGGACTCTGGAGCCAGACTAAGCATGCATCCCACTGCGTGGCCTGGGCAGGTGACTTCCTCTTTCCGTATTTGCTTTCTTATCAGTGCAATGGGGAAACAGTGCCCCGCGCCCGGGATGAGCTGCTCTGTGTTCTAGGCACTGATCACGAGCAACTGAACAGCCTCTCTGACCTGCGTGTGCTCAAAGCGCTTTTCACCTACGAGGTAAGTGCATTATGATTCTCCTTTCCCAAACGCAGGGACCAAGACCCAGGAGAGTCTGGATTCAAACCAGACTCTGGAACCTTCCCCTCCCATCCCATATTGCCTCGCATTAGCTTGTTTCATCCTCTCAACAACCCAAAGGACTAGGCAGTTTTAGAAATGAGGAAACTGAGGCTCGAACGGGGTTGAGTGACAGGTCGTGTGCATTTGATGGAGCTGAGACTTGAGCCCACGTCTACCTGTTCCTGCTCATTGCCGCACACCTGCGTATGCCCTTCCTCCTGCGGCTGCCCTTCCCTGCCATCGTCAGTGGTGGCAGAATGACCACCCTCTGGGGACACTACGGGAGGGGGTCATGGACGGTGGGCAAGAATCCTACGCATCCTGGTGGCCCTTCCGCAGCACCTACTTTGCTGTGGGCGCAGATGGCCGAGCCCAGGAGCTTCCAGGTGCCGCCCCTCCGGTCCATCCGGAGCATGCGCAGGATCTGCAGGAACCGCAGGCTCCGCAGGGAGGTGGCCAGGACATTGCCCTGGTTGCCCACGGCGACCACAGGCACAGAGGCAATCAGCACGAAGATGTCTGGGGAAGAAAACAAAGGGCCAGTGACCAGTGCTGTCCAGGCCTGCAGTGGAGCCACCAGAGGCACCGTTGGCCCGCACCTGAGCGTGTGCCCAGCGCTGTCGCGTTAAATGGTGACAACGACCGCACGTGGCGAGTAGGGTTACTCTCCTGTGACAGAGGAAACGGGACATGTAAGGTGTAGTTGAAGAGCCACTAAGCACGTTTTCCTGATAAAAAGGAGAATCTGCTGGAAAGGAGAGGAGGAGCAGAGTGGCCGAACTCAAATATCCGGAGAGCGTCGCAGGAGTCAGGAGGAAACGGGTACGGGGAGAGGGGCGAGCGGCCCACGCCTGGAGGGACGCGAGCAGTCGGGGCGGCCAGTGACAGCTGCTGCGGAGGGGACGGGAGCACCGGACAGGAGGGCGTGGTGGACGAGAGGCCCTTGGAGGGCCCTTCCCGCCCCGACGCTCTGTGGTCCGCGACTTTAGCCGTTCCTGGAGCCTGATGCTCTCGGT